TGACTCTGCACGAGTTTTGGGTTTAGGGTTTAGGGTTTTAGGGCTTAAGGGTTTAAGGGTTTAGGGCTTTAGGGTTTAAGGGTTTAGGGTTTAAGGGTTTAGGGGTTCAGGGTTTCGGGGGCGAAAGGATGGGCGAAACGATTTGCGGCCCGGTCGCAGCGCGCGATGGACCTCGGCCGCCATGGCGCAGCCGCGCTGGCGCAGGGCCTCCGTGCCCGCCTCGAAGAGCGAGTCCAAGGCGCCCTCGCCGCGAAGTCGAAGCGAGGCGGAGCGCAGCGCTTCAACATCACAAAAGAGCTCTTTTGCCTTGTCGATGGCCGCGTCGAACTCGTTCTCGCCCAGAGCCCCGGGCTCAGCGCAGTCCAGGCACCACCAGGTGAGCCCCGGCTCCTTCCGCTCAGCGTCACGGCACTGCGCTGCTCGCTCTGGCCCGGTTGCCTGCTTGCGCATCATGTCGATGACTGTGGAGCTGTAGTCCACGTTGATGACCTGCCCAGCTCAACAACAGACACGAAAGGACCGCTTCACCAACTTCGCCAAGCCGCATTCCTGAAGCCGGCGTCTACCAGTTTTCTTCCCAGGCGGCTGTTGCCGCAGCCCACGTGCAGTACTTTGCTGCCGTGTCTGTTTTCCAGAAGCTTCTCAACGAACCTGAAACCATGATGAAATGAGAGGAGCAAGGACTTCACGTGCTGAGTCCAAGGCGCGGCCAGATCACTTCGCAGGTCTGGTTCCACTCCTGGGTGCCGCTCTGACAGCATAGGCTCTAAAGAGCAGTCAGAGACTGACATCAGGCCAGAGGCGTAGGTCTGTGCATAGCGCCCCGAAGCGTAGGCCGCATCCCAGTACTCGCGTCTGCCGAGCCAGCTGCGCCCGCCGCAGCGCAAAGCAAAACCTCGCCTGAATGACCGGTCTCAAAACAGAAGCTCCTGTGTACCCCGATGTCGGCATGTCCCAAGGTTTTCCTTCCTCAACATTCACGAAGCTGCTTTGCCCCCGAACCTCCTAAGCCTCCAGCCCCTAAGAGCTTCACATCCAGAAGGCGCGCGCGGCTGACAAAGGAGTTTATGTAGGGACTCTGACACGCCAGGACCCTACGGCGTCCCTAAGAGGATCCCCAACCTCAAGCTCACCACGAGCCAATCCATCGCGCCACAGACGTCTCCAAGGCAGCCCGAGGTCGTCATGGCCAAGCTTTGGATGAGGGATTGCTGCGGTTTACTGCGGTTTCTGGGCTGTGGCCCAGCTCTTGCGCCAGAGACGCAGTGTCGTCTCATGGTCGAGCTTCCTGACCGCGCATTCTCCGGTGAGTGCAACTTGAACAGACATTGACATGAGCACGAGGCACGAGGACGTCAAGTAAGACCACACTTACTCTAAGTCTGTCCGACTCTGCGCTTCTGCAAGTGCAACCGCGAACAAGTGAGTGAAGAAAGCGTTTTAGATCTGGCAAGTCACTGCCTTCTGGGGCACTGCAAGCACGGGTCTCTCCTTTTGCCACGAGCGCCGTCTTGCGCCGCCTTGGCCCTACTCGATGCGATCCGACTCAGGAAGCGGCCGGCCCTCCTCCCATCCGGAGCCCTTCCGGGCATCCTGGCAGGGGACCCACCACAGGACCGAAACACGAGAGTGCAACCGCTAGCCAGCAGTCCTGCGCGTGCAACCTCGACATGTCGAAGAACCTCGTGGCTATCAAAGCAACACGGCACCGTGGCTGCCATTTCTGCCAAGCTCACACCTTGGTCGACGACTTCTCCCCCTTTGGGCCTATTTGATGCGGATCCGATCTGGGGAAATTCGGAAAGCCTCTCCTGCCGGACTGCTCAGAGGTCACAGGCTGCTTGCACCGGCTTCTCGAACGAACCGCTGCATTTTTTACGTCTACGGCACCTACTAGTTACTGTAGGGTGCCCAAAACAGGGATGTATAGTCTTAACCCCTCTTTGGAGCAGTGAAGCAGCTCTGGAGCTCCTGGTGAGCCAGTAAGGCCGCGTGAACTTCACCTTCCCAACAAAGGGGGCCCGGCACGTCCCAACTCGAGAAAAACCCCCCGACTTCTAGGCCCCGTCACGCCTCGTGGTAGGGATGGTTGCAAAGCCACCTGAAAGGAGCGCTTCAGAAGGCAGAAGCTTCAGAACTGCCTTCGGGGCCCCCGGCTTGTCTGGGCCCATGAACTGATACTTCCAGATGTTCACCTTCTTGCTCCTCATGCGGTTGCACCATCCTCAGGTTTCAAGGAGCTCAGAAGAGGAAGACGAAGAGATCTGCAGCCGGAGCTCCCATGGGCCGCCGATTCATGCCTGGGGAAGCAGGGGACAAGCACCAAGCCTGCGGCTTCCCTAAACATCTCTGACCTCGAAACCGTCCAGGAACCGGAAAGAACACTCTTCCTCCCAGCCAGGCCTGGCGACCTGCCTTTGCGGCGCAGGCTCCGCGATCGGTGTGTGAAACTGTGAGGGAGCTGTTGATTTTCTAGCCGGGACAAGCTGGCGAGATGTGCAGTGGCTGGGTGGGGTCTGGCACGACAGAGCTGCACGGTGAGTTTGGAGTTTGGGGTGCAGCTGCCTCTCAGTAGACTTCATGATGGGGACAGGCAGTCAGGCTGGAAGCCCTCAAAAGCGGCGGCATGGAGCACCACAGGTTTGGGACGAAATGATACCAGGTGGCCACGAAGACTCCCCGACTCCTCGAAATGCAAGCAAAGCGGAAGGATTTGGCCCTCGCCCGTCGAGTCGCATCTAGCTTTGCACAGCTTTGCTTGAGTCGTGCGGTCACACGTTGATCTGGGCAACGTCTCCGTCCACGGAGAGTTCAACCTGTCTCGGCGAAGGCCATGAGCTGGTGCAGGCAGAGGAGGACCCCGCGCCTCCCCTAGTCTCAATTGCCACCTTGGGCACCCCCTGCCACCTCCGAGACTTGCTTCTTCACCCGCCTGGCACGAGATCAACATCCTGCACGACTCTCGTCGCCACATGAACACATTGACACTCTGTCAGGGGCGCCTCAGATACTCATTCTTGTCGGTGGAAAATAGCCGGTATGGCTCCTCCTGAATGCGAAAAAAGAGAGAACGGACTGCCAAGAGCCAGCCTGCGGGGGGGAAGCTGCGCCCAAGCCTGCGCTGGTGACGCAGCGTTTGGGTTGTCCAGGAGGTCCTGGAAAGAGCAGAGATGGCTTCATCAGGTTTTTGCAGCGCCTCTGAGCCCCAAGGGCCTGAATGCCAAGCAGGATCTGACGAATCGTGATGGCTGGCTTCCAGTCCTGCCGAAAGGGCGCAGGAGGTCTCTGGCCTCTTCGAACAGAGCGGCACTGCGGGGACCAGGCCTCGTCCTCGTTTAGGATACTAAGACAAACAGTTCCGGAAGGGTAAACGTTCGGGTGGAACAGCGGCTTGCCGTGCACCTGGTGCTCAACAGCTCGGCTTTTTTTTGGCGCACAGAAACGACGGCACATGCCGGCTCCGCATGCGCAAATTTGCACTTGGGCGGCTTTGATGGGTAGTCCTCTGTGAACTCCATGGTGAGGGCATAGGTTGCGCCCTGGAAAAAGCAGTGCAAAGCAGTGCAGCGCACGAACAGCGCAGGCAGTGTTTCGCTCGCTAGGCCTCCCAGGGGCCTTTGGCCCGTCCAGGAATTCCACAGTTCCACTTGAAGACCTGCAAGGATAAGTCAGCTCGCACGAAGATTAGCGCTGGTCTTGAGGCTTGGTGCAGCACGTTCTGTCCCTTTCCGTCTTCGTTGGGCGCATACCTGCCATGCTCGGAGGCTCGCGAAGCACAACTTCAAGATCTGCGCCCTCCCCCGCGGATGCCCTGAACGTGGGCGCACTTTGCGTAGAATCCAAAAGGGTGGTCTTTTTTAAAAGCCGCCCGCTCCTACAGTGCAAGGACAGCGGAGACGTTGTGCTGTGCAATGTGGAGAGGATTTTGGCCTGCGCAAGTCTCTTGGATGCAAAGCTGGCCATCCGTCTGCGGCGATTCGCCTCTTCTCTTTGAAGGGCTTCAGATTCCAAGCCTTGCAGAGGCTTGTATAAAGTCGCGAAGAGCTGCTCGCCCAGCCCCTGTTTCTGAGCGCCCTACACCTGCACCGCAGACCTCTGCCCCCCCAAAACCAGGTACTATAAGCCAAAAAGGCAACGCAGCGCGCGCCAAGCGGTCTGCCAGCATGCCACATTTTGCCCTGCGGCGATATAGTTTCCAGGGCTAAGGCTGTCTGGATCTATGCCGGCTAGTTAGGCGCAAGCCTCAAGACAAGCAACATGCTTGCAATCAAACGAACCATGGCCTGGATCGGCAAACTACCCATGCCGAGCCCGCCATGAGCCTTGCGATGCCATGAATGCTCTCAACTTTGCAGTCCTCCAAACATGATCCTGAAGTTGTCAGCGATGGCTCGTCCAGTGCTGTGTCACGGGGTTGTTTGGCTTTCGTGCCCACCGCCAGCTACGCAGCTACGTTGGCGAGCGCATCGTTGTTTGCTCCGTGCCATACAGCGAACGTGTCGGGTCTCGACGTTCCTTGGGTCACGGCGCGCTGTGCATTGAAAGGCGCACGTTTCGCAAGAGCCGGATGCAAGTTGATAAGCCGAAGCTCTGGATTTCTTGTTCTTTGCAACAATGCCGAAACATCCGTCAGCCGATTCGCTGCCTGGTCTAAAGTCAAGCTTCGTCTTTTCCAAAAACATCTACAAACAGCCTGCCAGGCTGAAGATCAGAATTCCGTGTGGGCCCTATCCGTGAGATTTGCGCAAGCATCCCAGGACAGGGAGAAGGCTGCCTTCACACGACCTTTACTGCCCATCTCTTTTGCTCTATCGAAGTCTTTGAAGACCTCAGATATGCCCCAAGCAATGCCTTCCTTGGTGGCCGAAACTACCCCACCGTCCTCACCATAGGAGACGGGACACCCTATTTGATCCGATGACACCACGACCTTGCCCGCAGCCCAAGCTTCGCAGACTGTAAGACCAAAGGGTATCGCTCCAGAGATGAAACCTCTGGCTGCGAATGTCGGCTTCAACGATTGGGGGGGTTTCGCGAAATGAGGTGTCCTCGACCCGGCCAAATACTGGAATCAAACTTTGAAAGTGCTGAGAGACAGAGATCCCTGGAGACAGATCCCTGCATTGAGAGAAACCCCGACATCCAGGGAAAACTGATTGCTCAGGCGATGCTATTGAAGGAACCTGGCTCCTCGGCTTTCACCCATATACAAGTATGATATGAAGATCCGTTTAGCTTCTTCCAACTTAGATTGTAAGTCCCTTCAGCAAGTATGAGCGATTGTGCCCTGCTTTCACGTGCTAACTTAAGTAAGCTTACTTAAATAAATAAGTTTAAGTAAACATGCTTTCAGTAAGCAGCCCTAAACCGTAAACCCTAACTTTTTTATCATCTGAATATTTAAAATTGAATATAGTTCGTGGTTTAAGGCAAATTTCGGGTTCCAACTCCCGGCCCCTGGCCGCGCGCGCGCTGGACCTCATACAGTTCGTGGTTTAAGGCAAAATTCGGGTCCGCCCCGAGATTTTGGGGGGAAAGGGTCCCCCCCGAGATCGGCCACCAGCCCAATCTGAAACACACATTTTACGAACAGAATTTAAGGTAGCAAAGTCCGGTCTTGAGCTGCAATTTTTTGGCTTCGTGGTTTTTGGCAAAATTCGGGTCCACCCCGAGATACCTGCAGGTCCCACGGTCTACTGCCTTGGTGCATCAGCGCCAACACAGCACTGTAAGCAGGATATTGAAACGTAGAGGCTAGACTTTGCCTGCGTCTGTCATCTCAGTCGTTCCCTGCCCGTGGCTAAGATGGAGCCGCTAGTTCACAAGCAAGGCGTTGTTGGCCCTGCACTCCACATCCTCACCGGTGCTACTCAGGGGAAATCCTAGCTGACTAAGTTGGGACTGCGGCTGTCTTCATGATCCTTTACGTTAGCAAAAGCGGCGAAAGCAGCATTTGAGGTGGCTTCATGCGCAACGGAACCGTCAAGACTAGCTGACTAGCATTGCAAGTTTTCGGACTTGTGCATCACACGAGCAACCTTGCGTGTACGTCTAGCCTTCCTCATTTCCGGCGATTGGTCTGGATATTGCAAAACAATAAGCAATATCTAAAACTCGAAGCTCCATCTTCACGGGATTTTGGAAAACCTGAAAAGTATCGCGCACCTCAGATACAGGAAAACTTCAAAAAAGGCTTGGCAGCCAAGCTGCAGTAGCACGCGCTGTGCTAAGTGCCTGCAAGCATTGCAAAGCTTGCGTCCCAAAGCCGTAGAATGTTTCTGGGTTGCTGTTGCCGTTGAGAAAAACAACATGTTTCCGTTCTGTCATTCCTATTGCAACGGCTGCTGCAAGGGTTTCTGGGATTTCTTTCCGCCAACGCATTGACGCCCCTGCCTCTCATCCCAGAGCAAAGGGACTGCCAGCTCCTTCAGAGCCTGGCCAAAGTGTTGATACAGCAGCGCCTTCCCAGGCACAAGCGGCACTACGACTACATCCGCGACGTGCAGCTGGGCAACGGCATCTGCTCTTCAAGCTTTGCCCAATCGAAAAACTCATTGAACCGCTCCTGCGAAGCATAAACATGCACAAAATGCACATTGTCGGAAGAGGTCGGACGAGGCTATCAACCTTTTACATGATGCACCCAAGACGACTTGATCAACCTAAACCTTTGCAACGACATCAATCAACATCAACCTGTCCTACATTTCATGCAGCACTTGCCATCCAACCTCCTGGAGCCTGTTTTTTCTTCAACTTCTACATTGCCTTTTTGGGCTTCGTGGCTGATGCAAAAAGTGCCTCAAATTCGCGAGCTTTGACATTTTTTATGACACATGCTTCTTGGAACCGGCACATGATCCCAGTTCCAACACACACTGCCTGGGGAATCTTGTAATGAAAAAAAACGGTTGCTCTGACACGGCTCGAAGTCTGCAATAAGTAGGTCAGCTAACAGGCATTGATGCTCGTGTACGGCGCGCGCGCTCGGGGGGGTTGAAGGGCAGGGGGGAGGGGGGCCGTAGTGCGTATGCCTTACGGCTCACGGTTTAGGGTTTAGGGTTTGCCAAACTGTTGGCAGCATCCCCGGGGCGAGAATCGGAGCGGCGACGGCCATGCCGGCCCGTGCCGCCAGGCCCTACAATAACCCATGCAAGTATATGTCTTCACGTGGGAGCAGAGCACAACCGCAATCCCCAAAGCAAATGAAGTAAGTAGACGCCACGGATTCGCAGTACTCGTGAGCCGCATCACCAGCTGTGTCGCTTTTTTCTTTGTCTGAGCTGCGTGGGCAGGTATGTGTGAAACAGCAAAGGCCAAAACTCCTCTGCAAAAGGCACGCACAGGACGAGGGACTACGGCGTCAGGCTGTGGGAGCTGCTGCGATATCTTGCACCACGATCCTTGTGTACCTGCGGGCAAGCAGTGCTCACGCAAAGATGCAATTTCGACACCTCCAACAGCTGGTGCGATTGGGGGCATGACGCGGAGGCAAAGTCGCCGCCATCATGAAGGGCTGGCTTGTCGATGAACTTACGAACAAATAAGAAGTCCTGAGCAGGAAATCGTGGACTCCCAACATCCTCATTGACTCATGCCCCCAAGTTGCCCTGCTTGGATCGTCGGTTGCCAAGCGGCTGAGTTTCGAATGGCTTGGATGCCTTTCGTTGAGATGGTGTCCCACCAACCGGGCCTCAAACCGAAAGCGAACAGAAAACAACATGGCTGGAACGGGAAGAACTGCATAGACGGAGGGTCGCGGCCGAGCCCAGTTGCCACCGTGAGGGACTGAAGGCGGATCCAAGGACCTGGCCAGTTTTCGCCATTTCTGCCGCCTTCTGATAAGAGAGAAGGCAGTGACTCCATGACTCCTAGGCTCTAGGTGATCAGGTGGTCTAGTACGGGTTTCGTGATGCTGTCAGTGTTCACCAGGTTTCACCTCTGTAGCTTGATATTCGCAAGTTCAGCCCTCCTGGACAAGCATGCCACAGGAACAACATCAAATTCTGCTGCTCGTTTCTGCCGAGGCTGTTCATGTACCTCGCACGGCAAGATCAGCAAGTCAATGCCTTGGTCTGCAGGCTAAGGCGCAGGCTTTGCCCAAATCACGAAGGTATCGCACTTCCCCTGGCGGCAAGGCCCAAGCACTGATCCCAGGAACGCTCAACACAAGCTCAACCTAGGCCTGCCAGCCCGCCGTTTTGTCAATCCGCAGAGGCGACCCCGTGAACCTCAGAAGGCAGAAGGGCCGCCCTTCTGCGGAGCGTCTGCGGAGCGTCTGCGGAGCTTCTGCGAAGCTGCGAAGAGATGAGCTCCAGACTCTGGAAGCTCAATGGACTGGTCCCCTTCGACATGGACCTTCTTCAGCGTGCCGTACCTCGCAAGAGCTCGGAGACCATGGCCACGCGGAAGCCATCAATCAAGGCTGGGACAGTGCAGTCACATACCAGAACTCATCAAGACCTCCAGAAGTCTGCGTTCCTCACGACTGATGCAGATGGAATCGGAGGGTGACATCCCCAGTTCCGGTTGTCGGCAAAGTTGTTGTCCAACATATTGTTCCACCTGCGAGCACGAGCTAGTGTTGGGCAGGCTGAGATGTCTTGCCGGCGCACCCGAGCTGGTTCATCTTGAAGTAAGACATGAAGTTGTGCATAACGCCTTTCTGCCACATGTCCTTGGCCCACCGGTCTCCTTCCTTCAAAACCATGGCTTTCTGCAAAGCCAAGACACCGATGCCCGCTCAGCGTGGGCACGGGAAAGTGTTATCCATTGGTGCACCTTCACAGCCACCTGAGAGATCCAAAGAACGAGGGCGAGCGAAGAGTCAGTTGCCTCTTATCAGCGGCCTCCAGGCCCCCTCCATCCGCATTCGGCAAATCGGCCCACTCTCCCGGTGGGAAAACCTGGCCCACGCCCATGCGGTTGCTACTGTACGGCGACGAAACCTCGAGGTTTGCCAACTATTTTCATCTAGGCCAGGCGGCAGTCGTGGCAGGAGAGGTGGTGGTCTGGTGGCGGTCGCGGTCGCGGTCGGTTGTGTTGGTCAAGAGATGCCAGCCCAGGGCCCGACCCCGATAAGAGCCAGCATCGTGAGAGAGGATACTTTCGGGCCTGGCCTTGTACTCAAGGAGCCCTCAAGCAAGCTTGTTCGTCCAGCACTCTTGTGGGAAGCCTAAACTTTGCGGTGCTGGGGGGAGGTCATCTCAAGATTCATGAGTTCCTGATCACGGCATTCGCTCAACTGCAAGCGTCTGTTTCCGAAGCAGATCGAGTGAGCTCCATGGCTGGATATCTTCGGAGTTTCTGAAGTGCGTGGGAGACATGTCCGAGGAGGCACGAGTGCATTTACCCGAGTCTTAACATGTCTTCACGTCGTGTGTCTTGCAATCAGTGCTGATGCGCTTATCGTAGCCCCTCTCTGCACTTCCAGAGTACGACCTGTCAGAGTAAATAACATCCGTTCAAGTCGTGCCGGGCAGGCGCAGAAGTCCGATCCATCCCGCTCGCCCAGTGTGCGGTAGATCTGCGCAGGGCAGGCTCCCAAAGCTCTGGACGCATGAACATCATTCTCACAGCCCTCATGCTGACTCACACTGTTGTATGATTCGTTCATGCCCACTTCGGTCCCTGTTCAGTCTTTGGCAGGAATCGTACCGCCGGCACCAACTGCTGAACGATCTGTGTTTCCAAAGCCTAGTGCACTCATACCCAAGCCGACCCAGCCAGCATCGACATTGGCGCTTCTGCTCTCCATGGTCCCACTCATATGACCCGGCCAAACCGCTACACATAGCAGCACACACTGACGAATTAAATGCCGGATGCAGACGGCCAGACACGCTTGGGCCCCGATTTGGTGCTTGCTTAGCTGCCAGATTAGCTCAGTCTCAACATTCCTTGGCGCTTGATCTCATTGGTTTGGGCAGTCTGCTGTGTGCTATGACGCCCGTTGGGCGCAGCACCGCATCTGAAGCTTTTCAGTTTCTCAATACAACATGCAAGCACAATGATAGTTAGCAGGTACTTGCTGCTGCAGGGGGACACAGCGGACGCTGGTGTTGAGACATGGACCCCACCTCTGAGAAGGGCTTTGCCGGCAGGGCCGAATCCGAGATGAAGGCAAACTTATCCAACCCCTGGCACCAGCCCCGATTACGAAAGACAGCCACAGGGCCATGCAACGCGCAGCCGAAGTGAGCTCCCAGCATTTGTAGGGCCAAGGTCCGTGCTCAAGGCGTAGCTCAAAAGCTGCCAAAGTGGAAAACATGTGAAAAAACTGCTGCAGGCAGGCTCGCAGGCTCCGGGAATCCGGCCTGGTTCATCGGCGAGACCAGATCCGTGCAGTAGTAGCTCGCCACCTGACATTGCAGCTGTCGAAGCTCAAGACCGGTTTGGGGGGAAACTCGACGGCGGAGCTGTCGGCACTGGCACGATGGGGGAGCCAGCCCTGTGAAGAGAGGCACCACCGCAAGAACGAGTCATGAGACGAGAGTTTTGAGAGCTTTTGCGGGCCAGGCGGCATTTGCTGCACGCATTGCTTCTCTTTGCAATGCACGAAAGCTCGGTACCTGCACTGCATCTCACTGCGAAGTCATTGGAAACGCTCAGCCGCTTCCGTGGCGGCACTTGTCCGAGTCTGCAGAGTCGAAGAAGGAGGACCAGACGTCCAGGTTGGAGATCTGTCCCAACTCAAAATGTTGAGACTTTCAGGGTAGAATGATGTCTGACTTTGGCTCAAGAAGCCTTGTCAACGGCCAGGAAGAGGAAGTAGACCTCAAGAACGAGACACACTCACAGTCGAAGAAGAAGCTACAATCGAGTGCGAAAAACCCTCGAGGCCGGTTCTCGCGGTGGTCGCTGCTCGGCGGAGCTGCGCAAATCGAATCGCAGATGTAACGAAGAAACAAGATGACCAACACCAGAAGCTAACAAGAGAGGAAGCGTCCCTTCAAAGAGGTCCTGGAGTTGGCACGTGCGCTGTGCTTCAGGGCCGAGGTCAGCGAAAGCACCTCCCGAAACGCGGGAGCTCAAAAGAATGCTCCAGTGCCGCTGCTGCACTGGCCTGGCCTGCACTAGGCAGAAAAGTCGCGGCAAGTTCATTGGCCCGCCGACGGTCCTTTCTTCGTTAGCTCACTGAGACACGAAAACAGCCCTGCAAGTTGGCAGTCCTGCACTGCAGGACCAGCTACGTTGAACTAGATGGGACTCCAGGGATCCATGAGGACCCCTTTGAGCCTTAAGTGCCCAAGTGTGTTTGCTTTGCTACAGCAAGAGGCAATCATGCCCAAGTCCTGCGAATCAGCAGAAAAGAGCTCGGGTGCCGAACTAGGGAGCAATCTAGGCGGCTTCCGATAGCACGGACACCTTGACTCTACCTGAATGGGGCTGTCGCAGGTCTCTATAGCTGCGTGGGTCGGGACTGCAGTGACTGCAGGCTTGCAGGCGGCGCATGGCCGAAAGCTGCGTGTCTCGCGGGCGCCCACCCGCAGATGGCTGCGAGCGGCGCGTGACACGACGGGCGTGGGTGCAGGCCAAAGACAAAGCGAAGGCGTGGCATCGAGCTTGGATGCAAAGGCCGGAGGTGTACGGACACTGGTACCTGCTCGCACCGGCAACCAGGTTCGGGCTGAGGGGTGCGCGTCTCGCCGGGAGAGTCCCGCGCCGCGGGGTGGCAACTTTTTACTCTCAGGCGCTGGTGGAAGTCAACTTTCGCCAGTGTCTAGCAGCTTGGGAGAAACAAATGTATGGACCGGGTGTCGGCGCGGTCATCACTGTCATAGTTCACACAAGAATGCACATGTAGCCAAAGTCGTGGCAACATCTCGCAATTTGTCGGCCTGGCCAGTCCGCCAGCTTGTCATGCAACGATAATGTGCGACGCGCTGCCATTAAACTTCCACCTTCCGCTACGAAGATGTGTGAAACACTTCCATTAAGACTGCTAAGGCATCCAGCGTCACGAAGGATGGCTCGCCTTACGACATGTCAGTTCAGCCATCAAGCTTGCGCAAGCACAGACCCATATGCTAAGCCAGGTGGCTTTCTAAGGTCGTTAAGTGCCCAGTGGTGAGGCTGCAGGCCATGAACTGATTCCTGATGTTCAGCACGATGGCGTCACCACCTCTCACAAACATGTCTGTTGAGCAGGCTTCCGTCCATGAACTTGTAATTTCAGACGCTGAGCAAGTGCCCTAGGCCCTAGTCTTGTGACAGTCTTGTGCAAATTCTGCAACTATCGCCTGGCTGCAGCTTCCACAAGAGGTGCTTGCCATCGTTGCAAGGTGCAGGAGGGCTGAAAACGTCCGCATCAACCACCTTCTCCAGCGCGTTGCGCAACAATGCAAGAGACAAAGACCCTCCGAAGTTCCCGTAGCTCGCGTCCCCGAGGAGTTGCCGTGCTGCCCCAATGACGCGACGCCAAGCGCCTTGAACGAGCTCCAGTTCCTCCTGGTATAGGAATCAGATGCTGCACAGACGTCAAGATCCGCGATGCACTATGATATACTACCGTATGCGAAGATACCGCAACCTACCATCAAGCGCTGCCCTGTATCCTTGCGCATTGTCGCATTCTAAAACAATGGCCCGCCTTCGGCACTTCGAAAGAGCCCTGGACCCACATGTCGGCTAGAAACTGGCTGAGGTCGAAAGCTTGGGAGATGTGCTGCATCAGAGGCCTTGGTAGGGTCTCGAAGCGTTTAGGGATGGGAGCTGCTAGGTCTGACTTCGGACTCTGCTTCTTGGCTGTGAGTGTGGGCTCAAGGGCGGGTCTATGCTTTGAACCAAGGGGCTTCATCCGCAAAAGGTTGCTGCTGACAGCCTCCTTTCAGGGACCCAGCAAATGGCACACGGAAACAAACAATTCTCTTCAATCTTAACTTATCTTGAGCGGATGCTTGAGCAACTTCTCGCACGTCCACTTGAAGTGTACAACCACGAAGATGGGGAAGCCAAAGCCCTCTTTTGTCTTCTCATCCCTGGGTCCAGAACCCTGTACCCTTGTTTTCTCGTGCGTGTGGCGCTGCCCCTCCTGAGCAAAAGGTAGTAGGCTCTGCAGCTGCGGAGTCGTTTCGTTGGCAAGCCGCTCGCGCAAGCTTTTTGTGGTGTGTTGATCCACGTCCGCACACTGGAAGAGCTGGGCCTACAGGGAGCTGCGCACGCATCGCTATAGTACCGCTAATGGCTAACATCAAATCCTGGCCTCCAAAAATCCTCCGTCCACCACGAGGTTCGCCAAGAAGTCGAGGTTTTGAGACACAGACCGCCAGGTGCGCAGCAAAGATACCACGTGATCCTCCCAGCAACCACAGAAAGGAGTCCATCTCTGGTGTCCTATGGTGTCCTAGGGGATGTGGAGCCTCTGAAGTTGGTCCCAGAGAATATCAGAGGACGCACTCTTTGACGCCCCTTGTAAGGACGACTACGCTGCTGTTTGTTCTTAGATATTTCTTGTACAGCAAGCCCATAGTCCTGCTCTTTGAGTCGCATCTCTGCCACCTGGCGACCGACATCCACAACGCTCGCTTCACAGTCCCCGACTGGAAGGAGCTGTGCCAAAGTGTCCTTGCGAAGCGCAAGAAGTCACAAAGCATCGAAGTACGCAGAGACCCTTCTGCAACGATGTTGTCAGACACATTTCTGTTCTTCCTGTTGCGAACCACACAAACAGCACTTTTTCCAACACCTGTCCTTGTGGGCGGACACAAAGACCCTCGCTTTCTGGACATACTCGCTCACGTCGCGGTGGATCAGCATCATCAAGTCCTGCCAGCGACATGAGAACATAGATCTGCTTCTTGCTGCTAGCTGCTAGCACGCAGAAACCTCTCGCTTCTGAAACCTCCCTGCCGGCGCCTGGTACTTTTCCGCCTTGTCTGCACTGGCCCAAAAGCTGCTCGTAGGTTCACCAATCTGGCTTGCTTTGGGACTGATGCCGAACTGGACCAGGCTGGAGGACAAGGTCGCCACCAGCACTGCTTGCTTGCGAAAGCGGCGCAACGCAGGCTGAAGGCTCTTCTTGGTCCGCCGCTGAAACGTCTCCCTCAGCGTCTCTGAGGGCAGCCCGGACAGCTCTTGTCGGTAGCGGCGCAGGGTGCGCGCTGCCGCCCGCAGTGAACTGGGTGGCCCTTTCAGCTCGTCCTTTGTCCTCGCGGTGGCGTTCAGCCCTGCAAGTTCTGAGGCTAAGCGGGAAAGCAAGGGAAGCAGCATCTGCTCGTCTCTGGACACCTCGCGGCCCATCGCCCCACGCAGCGCCTGTGAGAGCTCCAGCACCTCACCATGTACTGATGCGACATGGGCATACGCTTCAGCATAGGCTTCATGGACCAGCGCCGACACATTGGGGACACTCGACACGTCCAGGACAGAGGTTGGGGGTGTCCAGCCGGCATCGTCCGCGGCGAAGATCGGCCGGTCTGCTAGCCACTTGCCCAGGCTCATCAAGTTGTCGTTCACAGTTTTCAGGTGCTCTTGCAGCACATTGAGTGGGTCAACCACATTGTTGTCGAATCGGCTGTTGATGTCGACCCCGAGCTGGTCAATCTGCGTGTTCAGCTGACCCGCGTAGTCGGTCTGCATCGTGGCCAGCTGCTCAAAATAAGCCTTCTGCACGCGCTCCTGCTCCTTGGCGTTCTGGGCGCTCTGATCTTGTGTCTCCTTCAACTTGTCGAAGAGTTCCGTGGTGTACCACTTGAGCATATCATGCAGAGTGCTGATGACATGGGTCTCTTGGGTTTTCATGGACCTGAGCACGGCCGCATTGCCTTTCAGCACCTCATCCTCAATACAATGAAGATCGCAGAAGGCCTCGTAGGGAAGGAAGGGGGGAGGACAGGGCAGAGGAGGCCAAGCACAGAACTGCCCCTCTCTCACCCCACACCCAAGCCCTGCATTTTAAACACCCGCATCCTTGTACATGGCTCCATCCGTGTAGTCTGCACAGCTGTCCATGGCCTCCGTGCATTTTCATGAGTTGCACGACATGGAATTGTAGCGGCCGTATGGGCCGTATGCTGCTGCACTTGCCATGAGGCGCCTCGTTTTCGCCATAGTAGCCCTGCCACGCAACCCAGTAGCTGTTGAAGCCGAAGTTGATGCCCTCGCTGATTCCCTCCACCACACTTGAGCAAATGTCCCCGAACCGCGCCAGGAAGCCAACACCCATCCCCAAGGGCGCAGTAAGTCCTTCCACATCTGGGATCACCTGAAACATCTGATGTCAACAAAAGCACAACTCTGCACAACCTTCAAGGCAATTCAAGGCAGCCAATGCGCCCCACACAGCGCAGAGGCAGTCGTCGCTGCCATGTCCAGGTAGAGTTGCCGCGCATCCTCGAAAATCGCGACATAATGCAAGCGGCACACAAATGCATGCAATGCCAAGCCAGTCCAAGCTTCATGCTCCATCTCCTTCTGCGCCAGCGCCGTTCCCCGGACATTGCGCCTGGGGATGCACTGGAGGGCATGAGGCTCAAGCCGCTGGCCGCTAGCGCCCACCTGGTGGCGCAAGCCTCCAAGGCTTCAGGCGACTTGCCAAAGATCACCGGACCTGAGGAACCTGTTCCAGCTGCGGTCACAGTGGTCATGGCCTTCTCCATAGGGTCCGCTTCGAGCAGATCCCTGTCGATTCCTGCAGCATTGTGTCGAGAGACAGAGAGAGCGAGAGCGAGAGAAAAATGAAAGAGATAGAAGCCAAGCGATGCCTTCGTAGATGTCGATCTCCTCTTCGTCGTCTCCTGACGTTGCATGATTTGTAATGGCTCTAAGGCACCGTCCATTGCAACAAGCACGTACGCTTGCAAGCGAAGCGTCCTGAGTCTTCGGGCTCTGGAGAGGGCGGAGATGGCGACGGCGAGGCCGATGATGATTTTTGCGAAGGTGAGGGTGACGGTGAGGCAGATGGAGTTTCGGTTCCTATGCAGAGCCCGCGCACGGAATCACAACAGCAAGCTCTACCAGACTCTACCAAGCATGATTCCTTGGTTCTCCATCTTCTCCATCTTCTCGTCCATCTCCTTCTTACTCTCCTTGGCCTTGTCCTTCTTCTTGCCTCGCTGCTCCTTGCGCTTTGCGACCGCTTGGCTTGTGGCCTTCTTCATGTTGTCAGCGAAGTCAGAGACGGTGAGCAGCCGGGTCACATCGAAATCTGTTTGCCACGTGGCCGCATTGACTCGGGAGTCATCGTGAAAGTAGTGGTAGCAGGGGTGCCAGGAGGAGGATGCCTCGGAAGTTCGCTCCAGGTTCTCTGGCTCGTTGAGCACTCCCAGCTGGTTTCGGCGGTCCAGCCCCCATCCAGACTCCTCCTCCTGGTCCATCCTTCACAACAACGAAGAAAGGCAATGCCCAGGCCAAAAAAAAAAAGAACGGATGTCCCGAAAGCGCATGCCAGCCAGATTCTTGAGCAACAATGTCAACAACGCATGTAACGCACCAAGATCGTTGAGAGGGTTGTTATTTACGACGACCAGCACCACTTCGTTACGGAGAAGCGAAAGTATTCGCTTGGACTCTCGGACGTTGTTTCTCCCATCCCGACAGTCTTGGAGAGGCTTGCGGCCTGCGAACAAGGACCCTTACGGTCCTCCCTCGCGGGCTGCGTTATGCACGAACAGCGCGACTCACGGGCGGGAATGGTGGGTAAGCGAACAACTTCACACAGGGCCTCGGAGCTCGCTGCGAACTACGCGAACCATAGAAGTTCAGCGAAAACGGCGCACTGCTTGTCGCTCGCTGCACGCGTACAAAACTCCACCAAACGTCGCGGCGCCAAACGCCGAGCGGCATCTGGACGTCCGGACATGAGGCGTTATTTTACGAGCAGGAATCCTCGCGTGACCACACGCGCACTGTGTTCGAGGTGCGGTGGCCTGCCCTCTGCTACAACGTATACTTATACGAACTTATTTACTAACAGCTAACAGAAAGCTCTATAAGGCCATCCTCACAACGTGTTATCCATCCTGCGATACCTTGCACCTCCATGCTGTGAAACCCCCCGCAACCCCCCCAGGAATACAGGGACACACGAAGGGGGCCGTCAGGGCGCATAATGGCGCAAACGTGACAGTATATGTTGACAGGCCGAGAAGCTCTGCGAGACTGTCCCACTGTTTCGGGTCCCGCATGGCACAGTAAGGTCGATAGTTGGGGTTGTCTGGCATCCAATTTTCCACCATGTCGATATCGTAGCCTGTCAGCTCCTTGGTAGGCTTGAAGTGCTCGATGGCCTGATCCTGTCGGATTGGCATTGTGGCTTTTCGCCGAAGTGGTCTATTCTGAGTATTTCTGAGTCCTCCAGCTCAAGTCGCTCAAGCTTGAACGAAGTCATCATTGGCGGCTTCTTGAACTTGACGATCTGGCGCAGGGGGGGGGCCCCCTAAGCCCTACCTTGACCGGCCCTCACCTGCTTCCGGCCCCGGGGCCTTGAGCTCCTTCATCGGAGCCCCAGGCTCCTGCTTGCTCTTGATCGGGCCCACACTTGCCACCTCGAAGGGGTCCTGAAGGGAACTTGCGCACAGGAGACTCTGCTCTTAGTTTGGAAGTCCGTGACAGCTCCGAAGCTCCAAAAAAGAGTGCAAAACACTGGCTGCTTACGAGCACTTTCTCAGCACCACTGGTCACCGCGGGTCCTGGCCGTCAACTTCGAGTTGCAGAACGTGGGCTGGGGCCTGGTCGACGCAGGTCTTGTTGGAGCCCTCATAGAAGAGGCACCACTGCCCCTTGTGGCGCTCGTAGCTGAAATTCCGCACCGTGCTGACTTGACTCCGATCAAAATGGTACCTGCCAGGGGCGCTGGCTGCGCTGGGCCGCTGGGCTTTGGTCAGAGACAGGCAAACAACGCTTCTTTGGCCCTGCACCTAGGCTCGTAGAGGAGCCGGCCCTCCACGCGGCCCGTTGGGTAGTACATGCCCTCGAAGTCACCAAACGACCTGAGAAGGCCAGGTTGTAAAGAGAGACGTCGGGAGATGTCTTCAGAACTTGTTAGGAAGCTTCCTTTGAAACTACCGAGATGTACCGAGGCACTCTGGAATCGGGTCATGCTCTCCAACAATCGAGATGGGCTCGTGAGGAGCCACTTGGCAGCAGGTGTATAGGAAACGGACCTCCGACTTGCTCTCACCTGGGTCTTTGGCCTCCAGCACGAAGTGGTTCAAGATCCAGTGATCCTTTGCGCCAAGGAGTCTGCGGACATGACTGGACGGTTGCCTGTTACCAGTCCTTGCAACCGATCACGTGCTTCGCCTGGGGGAGCGGCGCACCAAAGCTGTGTGCAAGCAGCGTAGCAGATGGCAACAAAGGGCTTGCGAAGGACTGAGGTTACTGAGGTTACTGAGGCTACGGCCAACGTCTCCATTCGACCTTTCAGCGAGCTCTCGCGCTTCGTCCACGGGGTCAGCTCCAACTCGCAGCCCCCCATACCCTGCGCCACAAACTGCGCGGATGCTGTCTCGGCTCTCTGCACATGCCTTGCAAGTCCCACTCTCTGTATGTCCACACAACTGCCTCCACATCGCAGCAGCGGAACTGGTACATGTAGCCGTAGCCTGCACTGCACGCTTGCAGGGCCACCTGAGCAAGAAGGGCCCGACGACTTCCCAAGCATGGAAAGGACCTTCAAGTCGATTTACTCGCTACCCTGCTCCAAACATCTCCCGTCGCTGGGACTCACCCCCATCTCTATCACAACTAATAGTCAACTAATGCAAGATCCAAGATGCATGTTGCAGTGCTTGACCGGGGGAGCACTGCACACGGTGCGCCTCCAACTGGTATAGATCGGAATCCGTGGCCTGAACCAATTGACAACTCAAAAGCTGAAATACTTTGAATCTTCGAATGTCAGTCTCTTTACTTGGCTCCCTTCATCATCCGACATGCACTGTCCTGGCGAGGCGTCCTACGCTGTCCTACGCAAACAGCGTTTTTGGCCAAATCCCGCCCGCGCGCAGTCTGTCTGGAAGACGTGGCATTTGGATTCCTCGAAAACCATGCTCGCCATCCAGTAGCCTCAGAGTCGGTTATTGTGCATGGTCGGTATTCCACTGCGTTCTACTGGACCTAGTCGCTGATGAGACAGGCAAAACACCTCAGCAAAGAAGGGCTGCTTGAAAACGAGGGCATGATCAGAACTCCTGAGCACTGGCCGCGTTTTGGAGCGGCTTGGTATCGTGTCTGCAGGCCTTCCAGACCGTCTGTACGCAGGCTTAACCGCTTTGGACCTTAACCCGTGTCAGAGACTTCCTTTCAAGCCAAGGGACTGTAGCGAAACTTGTTGCCTTCAACTTCCTTTAGCTGGATCTTGGACAGGAAGTGTTGGTTGAAGGGGTCCCCCACCTGTTCAGACTGAAAAGTCTCCAAGGCACAACTGACATGACCCACTTGCGGCATAGTCTAGCCCATGCTGAGCCGAGCGATTTAGTGTGCCAACCTTGTGACATCAAAGGGAGGTGTGCAAGTTGGTCTGGGCCCATCTGTTCTGACAAGCACCAACGAAAACTGCGCACTGCTTGCCACTGTTTGCAGATGTGCAAAAATGTGCAAAACTCGGCGCTGCAGCTCGCGTCACACACAGGCCGTCTGTGCGCATATTAGGTTGGCGAGCAACTTGCACAGTAAACAGAATGCACGGGGCATTTCAGAGGCCCACCTGGCCCATGTCGACGAGTAGGTCCAGCGCGTTCTTTGTGCCTACAGAAACCGGGAAGCACAGGGAGTACTGGTCTATGCCGCAGAAGTGCTCCACATTGCCGTGCTCTTTCATCGTCCAGCGGTTGATATGCTCATGCAAGGCATCCATGGGAACCTGAAGCGGGAAAAGAACAGAGCATTTTTGCTGGTTCTCTGGCTCCCTGCTTCAAAGACGGAAATGTCTTCCCATCGCCAAGTCACCAGCTGCCGAAGATCGTGCTCATAGCATGATACCATAGCCCCATTACCGGCATCAACGCACAGGGGTCGCCCATTGCCTGCAAACTCCAGCAAAGCGCGCCCTGGCGCTGAAGGCACCGGTAGGAAGCGCCACGTGTCCCGGCTGCCCGAACGGCACTCGCCCCACTGTGCTTTCATGGGATGGATCACAGCCACATCCTGAAGCCCACGGCAAGTCTCACGCTCGCCGCTGAGCCGCAGAACCGTGCTTTGGTTTCCCATTACGAACACTGTGGTTTGGAAAACTTTCTCAGCCTTAGGCTGGCAATACTCCCATGCCACGTCCAGGTCGTCCACGAAGCACCAGATAGTCGAGGAGTTGTCCGGATTTCTGCAAAAGGAATGATTTCCTAAACCAGCTTCGCTCGAGTTGATATTGCTCCGCTTTGCCTCCAGTCGAGCAAGGCTAGCTTGCCACGGCAAGCACACTCGCCCGCTGGCCGTGTGATCTTGGCATCCGCGGTAGCCCCAGCCGTTGGCCTATGGCAAAGCGAGAGACTACTGCAGATAGTGAGGCAAAAGACGAAAAGGCAAAGGAGGCGGAAACTAGCTGCTCTAGCTCAAACCCAACTTGTGCTTTCGGCCCTGTCGGTATCCTCCACCGACTCGTTGCAAAGGCTCTGCTGCGCAAGCTCGGCGAGAGGGCGGTCCATAAATCGACAGGAGGTGACTTCGTCCAAGAAGGTCATGCGCACCTCGTACTGCGTTCCTGGAAAGGGGCGCGAGGGCAAGCTTCTGCAGCATGCCTCTGAAAAACAGCACTTGACCAAGGTCGTATATCGATCAAGGGGTGCCCCGGTGTCCTTTTTTATGCACTGGCACGGTGATGTTGTAGGAAAGCGTGTCGCCGAAGTGGCAGCTGCAGGACAGGTCCGGGCTGCATGGGCAATCCTCGAAACAGGCCTTAGAGCCCTCGAAGGACTGGAGGCCAGCAGGGCACGGCTCGCAGGCGGTCTGCCCCTCCGAAGACCCGAATCGCCCAGCCGGGCATGCCGAGCAGGCGGCGGCCGTGCTCGAAGAGAAATATCCACTCGGGCAGGGCCTGGCCGCCCAGCGACGAGAACAACATTCGTGACCCACTTAAGTCTGTCTGCGCCCCAGATCAAAGGCAGCCACATGCAGCCGCGACACTTGCAGTTGAAGTCCTGCATTCGCAGGAAGTTGTCTTGGTACTTCCCGGCTGGGCAGCGCTCGCAACTGGTAGCACGCCGCCGCCGGGATGCGTAGCCCACATTGCAGGTGAGGCAAGAGGCGGAGCCCTCAAAGTTGGTGTACAAGCCGGTGCCGCAGGGCTCACACTCCTGTGATCCGGGGGAGACCGGAATCTCTCCTGCGCGCAGCATCTTGCGAAAGAACGCTGTGGAGAGAACGTCTGCTCACTGTCTGCACGTGTCATTGATTATTTGGATTTTATAGGGTTCTCGTGCAGTGCAGTCAAGGGTTCTGCCCGATTCACGTGGACATTGGACAAGGAAAAGGGACACGCTGCTGCTATGCGGACTGTGAGGTGAGCTGGCGTTTGCTGTTTAGCAAGTCAGCGCTGCCAGCGACTGCTAGGGGTCGCCATTCGCTGTGCAGCAAGATCACGCCCGTCCTTTTGGGCAGGTGCTGCATCCATCCACGTATTCGGGCGTTTTTGTGGCCCAGAGCGATCGTCGAAGCCGCCAATAGTACTTCACGTTGAGATTGTCTTCTCGCCAACCCCACGTGCCCAAGCCCTCTTCAGGGCGAGGAATGTACTGGAACAAAGCCCAATCAGTCACGAACGCCGGAAAGTGGTCAAGATACATATGTTGACCCCCCCTGAGCTAGCTGCGGCTAGGTTTAGTCAATTGGAGGGGTTTCTTGAATTCTGGCAGTTTCTCACACATGTTGCAGGCAGCTGAGCGGCACGTCGTACTGATATCTTTCGTGGAAGGCAACATACTTTACGTTGTACTTTGCCGGCACAGAGCAAACCTTAAACTCCCAGCCATTCCACGGCGCAGAGAATCGCATGCCGACAAAGAACTTATTCCCCGGCATCCCTGCCCAATACCACGTGCCCTGTCCGAGCCAGCCGTAATGGCCGTCCATCCTCCGCTGCCTTGATCCCCATTTTCCATGTTTCCAGAAGCCCCAGTTGTCCGTATCTCCAGTGGAAATGCTCCAATGGCAGTCAGTAGACTCGTCGAACTTGAAGCCGCACACCTTGCGGCAACGCGCCTCCAACCTCAGGTTTGCATGAGAGATGTCTTCTGATTCTCTACAACCAGCCAAAGCATGCATCTAAGTTGTGCACTCCATTAAAATTTCGCCAACCTGGCAGCCTGTAATGGGCAAACGCGAGCTGCTCGATGACCTCCCCCTCCGGACACAGAAGCTCCGGGCACTTCTGGATCTGGACAATTCCGCCTTGGCTTCAGTTACCGGGCTCGTGTCCGGTATCGTGATATCATGATCCCCGACATAGGTCTCAAAGACTTTCCGGGGCGGATCTCTCTTGCCAAGCGGCCGTATCCGTTGTATTTCTTAGTCCCACCATGGTTGACCCACCATGCGAAACCGGGAATGTCGCACTCTACACGCATCGCCGTGAAGTCTCTGGGCATGGTGATCGCCGTGCCCCAATCGTTGTCTGTGACATACTGCTGGAACTGCTCCTGGTTCATGCGTTTATCGAAACTCGCACTGGCAGGTCCCCATGACCAACGATGCCAGTCGTTGCTGTAGGCGGGCTCGCGCATCATGCCCCCATACCAGGACAAGTTGACAGCTGTTTGCAAGGTCGACAAATTAGCAAGAGTGGCAAAAGCGGGCTGGGCTGGCCTGCCATCAACCTCAACAACCTCTGCCTCACTGTAGTCGAGGAGAGAGGTGCCCAGGCTGACTGTTTCGTTGGCCATCTCGCTGTTTGAAGTCGAGTTGCCGCCGCTTGCCACTCTTTGCCGGGCCTTGGCGAAGGTCATGGCCCGGGGTTCCAGGACTGGCTCGCAGGTTTCTGCCAGCTGGCAGCGCCCGGAATGAAAAGTGGTATAGTAGCGACACTTTCGGTCTGAACCACCTTAGCAGCAAATCTTTCGTGCACCATGGCAAAGCACAAGATCCGGCCACACAGATGTGCAACATGTGGCAAGCGTTAGGACCGTTAGGACGCTTAGGAGACAGGCCGAAGAACAGAGCTGCTGGCAGTTGGAGTCTGTCATATCGAAGTAAACGCCGGCGGCTCCACAGCCATATCCACCAAGGTGAAAGGCAAACTCGTGGGCAAGCGTCTGCGCCACAAAAGTCTGCGCCGAAGTCATCTGCTTGCTCAAGCTGCTGCAGGCGTCGCCTGAATCCAAGCGCGCAGTAGGGGCGTACACTACTTGGAGGTTCATGGGTAGTTATTAGTATGGTTAAAAGTCCCCTAATATGGGTTATAGTTATAATTATAGTTACCCTACTTATAACCCCATGTAAAACTACCCATGAACCTCCAAGTAGGGCTTTTAAAGGGGCTGATGCTGTGGCGGATTTTGGAGTTGTTCTTTGCCCGGGACCTGAATCTGAGCAGTTCTCTGCGCGAGCTGCGGCACCATTGAGGGTCACAAAGCGTCGGTGCGCTACGTTCCAGAGGCCGAGATGCCCGCTATCACCTGAGGGAGCAGTGACATCACAGACAGAAAAGCGCCGGGAGAGCAAGAGGCAAAACGGCGGGGAGAGGGAGGGAGAGATCGAGAGGAAGGAGAGAGACAGAGAGAGAGAGAGAGACAAGAGAAAGCGCAACAAAAACAAGAACACAAAGACAAAGCAAGCGCGCGAGCGCCAACCCCAGAGAGGGAGCGTGTGTAAGAGGGCCGAGTGGCTACCCACGGCTTTGAAAACCACGCTGCCGTCCATTTGGGCGAGATGCTCCCAGTTCACACACTCGGACAGCTTGAGCTGCCGGTCGGAGACCTGCAAAAAGCGCCGACTGGGCTGGTTGTAGAGGCCTACCTTGCCGTGGCCAGCTGCCACTACCAGGAAAGAGATCTCGTCCTCCAAACCGGCCCAGTCCAGCTGCTGTCGGGACGAAGAGCCGAAAACGGAGCCAGCAGTGTTGCCACTCAAGAAACGTCTGGCCTGCATGTTCCAAAGAGAGATCGTGGAGCCGGCCTCGAGCTGTGCGTGGCCCACCCGGCCCCAATCCAAGGCCGCGAAGGACACAGCGAGCGGCACGTCGATGGCCTCGGCGGCCTCACCGGCCCAGTGGTCGGGGGCCAGGCACTTGCCATCCCAGGAGCGCACCTGCTTTCCGTAGTGTGCCTCGAACCATTCCTCCCCACGCTGGGCTCGAGAGTACTCCAGGAAACTCGACGGCTCTCTTGCCGTGATCTGCACACCGATCTGGCAGTTCAGGTCCATCATAGACATTCCTCCGAATTCCGTCATCCAGTAGCCGTTCACACAGGTCATCGACATTCCACTAATCTGGACCTCGTGATGAAAGCTGCGGTACAGGTCGGGATGGCAGGAGACCCGCAGGGCCGTGCCGGCAGGGAAACTAGGTCTCAAAGGCTGGCGCTCAGAACGGTACGTGCTTGGAGCAAAGCGGCACGTGTCACAGCTCTCGACACCAGGAATCTGCAAGCGCTTCAGTCGGTGGCACTGCTTCAGCTGCTCCTCAAAGAGGCATGGGACCTCGCCACTTTGCAATTCCGCACGTCCTCCGAGGACCGAAGTTTGGAAGCCCGTCAAGAACAGCCTGCGTTTCTCGTCCCAGCACTCTTCCGGATTAGCGATGGCACAAGCCTCCTGAAAGCTTAGCCCGAACAACTGGCCCTCGGCACCGACTTCCACCTGTAAGGAGTTGCAGGTCAGGTAGAGGCGGCAGAGCGAGATGCCTGCATACTCCCCGACCCAAAAGAACTCCAAATGCGCCTGCCTGCAGATGTGGGCTGAGTCAGCGACGCAAAAGCACACAGCAAGCTGGTACGCTCGGAAGGGAACCTACCCTACCGATCCGACATGGCAATGCCAACCGAAAGCCACCACAGTCGCAGCACTTCGCAGCCCGAGCGTCTTGGCCAGCACCTCGCAATCCTGCCTTCCCACGTCCTCGCAAGGAGCATGCTGGAGCATGCTTGTTAAGCCACATAGTCACATGGCGCATACTCACCTAGTCACACAAAATCCGCAAAGTCGCACCAAGATCACCAAGCCCGTCCCGCCATGTCCTGATGGGAGCTGTGCAAGGCGGTGACTTCACAGGTCACGGCTCCATGCACCAGCAGCTGAGGTGGGGGAACGAATGCATTGTCGGAGCCCGGTGGCATAGCCTCGAAGGCCTGCCTAGTAACAGGCCAGCTGTCGCCATAGTTGCCAGGGAAGCACTCGCAGAAGCCAAGGGAGTGGTCGTCCATCAACTCGGTCGTTAAGTCGTCGAAGCGGAAGATGCGCTTGGCATCGTCCGGGTTCGGAAACTGCTCTGGTAGACCTTGGGCGGCACGGAACTCCTCTCGGTCTTGCAGCGGAGACTTGCACTCGAAGACCCAGGGTTTCACCTCGACAACTCTCGACATGTTCGACGCGTTCGCGTTCTGCTGGCGTGACTCGTCTGGCGACGGGTAACTGCCATCGGCATAGCCATCAACGTCGAAAGCCTGCTGCACCACGTCGTCAGAGAAGCACCAAAGGATCGGACCCCGCAGCTCCAGGCTATCGCCGACAAAGTCCCTCGCAGACTTTCGCCGAATCACCCAAGCATCGCGGAACCTAAACCAGGCATGGTATGTAGCTTCATGAAAGTAGCTCTACCGTAACTGCAAGCTGCCTGAACGAAACATTTCCAGTAGGTCAGTAGATGGTACGGTTACTGGCTAGGGTGTCATGGCCTTTCTACGCAGGCCGCGGACAGGCCGCATGCTGAGGCTAGGGCGGATTGCCACACTGCTCCGGAGCTGCTTCTGAGAGGTGATCAAACTTGTGAAGATACAACGTGGAATCGTCGGTCACTCCGTCCATGCTGTAGACTGGCAGCTGCATTCTGTTCTCCACCGGGCAGAACTGGCCGGACAGGTATGCCTCGCCAGGGACCGCGACCATCAAGCACTGCTTCAAAGGGTCACAGTCCGTGACCTTCACGTGAATGGAAGTGAGGTTTGAGGTAGTGGACACCGTACGCACCGCTTTGTAGCAATTGCCTGCAAGGTCCAAGCCCGCAGCTGCACAGGTCTTGTCCATGCGGCACAGGGCACGGCACTGGGCGACTGTTGCACTGCTCGAAGTCGTGGCGTTGGCATCGCTCACGGCACTGACAGTCGACGTTTGATGGGAGAGCGCGATCAGCGGAGCAAAGTCATCCTGCCCGATGGTTCGCTCGAACTCTGCCAGCCAACACTCTTGAAAGCCCCAAGTCTACAAGAAACAAGTCTTATCGCTGATTTCGCGGCTCTGTCCGGCCGACCCCTCGTCCAGCATGTGTCGTCTGTGACTGAAACCAAGAAATCGGCCCGGAGGAGCTGCTTGCTGAATGGGAGCACGCCATAGGCACGGCAGGACAGGCGAAGCTGGCACCGAGGCTGCGAGGCTCGGCAGTGCTTCAGCAACTCCGCCGCCGGTTCGCCTAAGAAAACCACTGCGGTAGGCAGCGAAAAATAGGGCATGGCTGGAGAAAGCGATCTGTAAGCCCCGCGCCGGCAAACCGCCCCAAGCTGGTCAGGTGGAACACGTCCAGCCCGTCCTTCGCGCCAAAAGCTGACCGGAAAGCAAATAGCTTTAAACAGCTCTTGTTCTTGCTCTGCGCTCTCCAGCCTTGGTCAAGACGCCGCGCCGGGCCTCAAAGCGGGTGCCGTTGCCGCACTCCACGTGGTATGCCACAGGCGGGTCGATCTCGGCCTCTTGTTGAGAGCTCAAAACGGAGGACAGGCGGTAGCTCGTCGTGGATCGGCCAACCACGAGGCTCACCTCATTGACCTTGACCCACTTGCGCGAGGCCTCTGAGACCAGGAAGAGCTCAGAAGGCTCGTTGGCAGCCACGAGCACGGTCTCCGTAGACCGTGTCACCATGGTGCAGTTGCCCCACTCACCCTCCAAGCACCCCTTGGCGCTGACCTTTGAGAATGACAAAAACAGATGATGCTTGCAGCTCAAAACACACATGATGCCTAGGCAGATGTAGCCGAGATGCTGTACAGCCGGCAGTGCGCGGGATGGGTGGCTTGCTGTTCTGCGAGATGGTGCCCAAATGGTCAATCTGTGCCCAGGGCAAGTCTGGCGTGCAGCGGAGCTCGAACTGATCCCAGAATCCATGAAATGCCGGAGCGAAGGTCTGATTCTGGTGGGTAAAGGTCAGGGCACTGCCGCTGTACGCGAAGTGCACCACTCGAATCTGAAGGCTCGCTACGGCTTCCGGTATGATTGCATCAGAGCCTGGTGCCCGCGAGGCTGTAGCAGTGATCTGGCAGGCGATGGTCTGGGGCTCTGGCGAGTGCATTTCACCGAATACCTGCAAGGATCAGACATGGTGATGCATCCACAACCTGCAAGCCGCCCTTCGCACCTTGCCGGTTCGGCCGTCCATGGTCAAGTTCAGCTGGTGCACCATGCACTGCTCCGTGAGGTAGGTAGCATCCAGGCGCGGCAAGGGCCGCAGGTCCACGTGGGTTTTGCCCGTTGGCACGTGGAGAGCGGCGTAGGCAAAGGAAGAAGCTCCACGGACCCCACCCCCACAGGCGCAGCAGGCCTCCGCCGCAAGCAGGCCCTGATTCACGGTGTTCACATCGTAGGCCCTGCCCAGCTGGCACATCCCCGACCTCTCAAACTCAGCACAGCTGGAGCCACGAGCATCGGCCCACGGGACATCAGTACAAAGCTGGCAAATCTGTTGGGATGCAGGACCGGGACCACTTGACATCGGGGCAAAAGGGCGGAAGCCGGCGGCACACTCGAGGCAGGAGTCTGTTGTATGGTCGTAGCGTTCGCAGCCAGCACATGCGAGGCTGCCGATGGGACAACACTGCTGATAGACCTTGCCCTCACGGAAATCATTCAGGAGAGCATAGTTCGAAGGGCATACCAGCGGGACGTCACTCGCTTGGAAGCCCAAGTTGGAAAGTGAACCATGCATGTAGGCAATGCCCGATGCAGTCTCAAAATCTCCACGCCCAACCGCTCCGCCGCTCAACAACGAAGCTCGATGGCACTCTGGATCAGCCTTACTGTTTGTGACACGCCTTGCGGCTTTGGGCAAACTCATGTGTATTGACAGGATATGGTAGCTCTTTCTAATCTTTCGAAGGCAAGGTACAATGTGGGGTAAAGTTCGCAGGGCCCACCAAGGGAGCGAGGCTTTGGACCTGTTTCGCTCCAAGATGGACTGGACAACCTCAGAGACCTTTGCGGCCGAGGATTTTTGGGCGCGGTGCTGCAGCACACTCGACCCTGTCACAGCGCAGGCTGTGACATCCGCCGTGGAGGCGGCAGCCACGAAACAATCAGCAGCTGCAACAACCACAAACCACGGGTGCATGGCTGACGGTAAATGGAGACAGAAAGTTGTGTGACAGTTGCCACGTTGAAACTTTGAGCACATAGCTTCGTAAGCATGCGATGTAATGCATGACACGTACAGCAACCTCCAGCACAATGCAATGCGACCACGACCAACCACCTGCGTCAGGCCACAGAGAATGCAATGGTGCAGCAGAACCCTTTTCCAACAGGCAGACACGCGTCAGGTTCAGCTTGCAGGATCAAATCCTCAGGCGGAACAGCATTGCTGTTGCTCTGCCCAGAACAAAGTCGGTCACGTGTTAATCGAAGCAGCCCCGCAGGCGCTCACGCGTTTTTTTGGTTCTGGACCCAAGATGATCGGGGAAGCAGTGGCTGCCCTTGCCATGACATGGTTCTACACAGCAATACCAGCTCCGTCCAACCCTCAACTGTTCAACTGCTTCCAGCGACGAATCGCTGAATATCTTGATTCGAAGGTGGCCCTGTACCGCAAGCGCTCTACAAGCTAACAACGGTACAGCCACGCCAGAAAGATTCATTGGTGACACATTTGGCACACCATGTGTCTTGGGACAACGGTGCCAGGGCGCAGAGCACCTTGAGTGCATCCTTCAAATTCATATTTGCCGACCAGCAAGGAAGATACTGTTCACTCTGCACCAGCTACATGCGCCTTCCTGACTATGACCTGCTTTCGGCTGCTAATCTGCCGACCCATTAAAGGGAAGGCTGGGCAGGATCGGAAATAAGAAACAAACCCATGAGACACATACAACATAATGCAACGTCCTAGAAGTTCCTCTCACGCAGCTTCAGCTCTTCTCCACAAGCGTCGGCTCGGACTTGGACTGCTGCAGCCGGCTACCTGGCAGCAGTGAGCCTAAGCAGCGTGCCCGAAGCCCACCAAAGGCATTCGTCCTATCCGGGAAAGCATTCGCTCGACAGTTTGCGGAAGCCCCTGCGCCCCGCTCGCCCCACCCCCACCCTGCCCCGGACGTCTTGCAGGCACGTTCATGTCGCTCGTCATCACCAGAAACACGGATGCAGCCATTCAGGAATCTTCTGTGCTGCACGACCCCCTGCACAGCCCCGGAGACCATCCAAGCAGTCACTGCTCTGCACCCAGCATGGCACCCAGCATGGCAAAAGAGCTTTCGACACCCCAGCACTATCGGCACCGCATGGGTCAGAGCCGCCAATGCGATGGGTGATGGTCGCTGCATGCGCACAACTCTCAGCGTGTTGGTCAGTGCCCGGAAGCACTGTTGTCGTCGTTTTTGGTAGGAGGAGGAGCAGGAGGATGAGCTGGTGGAGCAGCAAACACCACAAGTCGCGGCAGAGCGGAAACAGGGCCAAGCATGGAGAGCAGGTGACTGTCGCCATCATTTCACGGTGACAGACTCAATCAGCATGCAGAGAACGGGGGCCTTTCTCATCCAGCTTCGGCAGCAGAAGTCTGCCACCTGAATATGCCAAGAGACCTCCCGGGCACTTCGGGAAGTTTCAGACTCAAAGGCAGGAGGCCATGGGGCTGGCGATGCTGGGGTGGCCTGTTTGAGCTTCCCAATCCGGCACCCTGCACGAGGCAAAGAACTTCCGCAGCAGCCGTAGCGACAAGAAGACGGTCCTGGATTTCAGATCCGACAAGGTCTTCTTGGTGGCCTCAGACACTCCGATCATTTAACTTGGTTGCCGTGGGAGCAACAGGAGGACATCGCTGCACCCTAGTTCAACAAAGGCTGCAGTCGATAGCCGACACGTTAAACCTCCTATCTGGCTGAAGCACTACCCAGCCCTGTCGCCCTGCGATCCTTCCTCACTCAAGAACCCTGGCTCTCACGAACCGGGCGGGTGCGAGGAGTGGAAGTGGAGCCCGTGGCAGGGCCTGGCCAGCATCTTACGCAGCAAGTGGACCCGAACCCGCTTTCACCAGGAGCTAAAGGCAGGTGATCCTCACCATCACCATCTCGCTCGCCAGCCTCGAAGATGACGTGGCTGCTCCGCTTCGCCTGGCTCATGCGGCCTCGCTCCTTCCAGGCCTGGCGCCCGAGGAGAGGAGGGAGGAAGAGAGGAAGCAAGGGAAGGCGCAGAAAAAAGAGAAAAGAAAAAAAAAGAGACGTCGCTCGGAGATTGGAGATCAAGGCCGTGGTTGGGGCCTTGATCTCCACATCCTTGGCATGCGGGAGGCTCACGTCCAGGAGGCCTTGGACCGATTGAAGCCTCGCGCAGGAGAAAAAGCACGACCTCCGATGTTGCTGCAGCCTTTGGCCTCCGTGTGAGTCGCTCCACTGTCCCCTGGCTCAGACGCACAAACACGGAGGAAGACACGACGTGCCTCACCAGTGGCCATGGCATGCGGCGCCTTCTCTTGCACCCGGAACTTCCAGAACCTTTGCAGAATCTCAGATCAAAGCCAGCAAACTGAAATTCGAGGGCCCATGCCAGTCGTTGGCCGCTGGGGTACTCAGGCCGACCTCACCGAAACACTGCAGCAATGCGTCCACACCGACACTTGTCTCCGGGGCTCGGGACAGCCATGTAGAAGTCGTGCCAGCGCACTCGGTAAGCCTCGCAGAAAGAAAGCGCAAGACGGCTCCGAAAGCAGACATGAGACGCGTCCCAAGCAAGCAACAAACAACCATCGTAAAAAGCACTGTGGCTCGGGATACTTCAACAATGACAGGCATCTGAGGCATGGACTTCACAGTAGGTCTCCGCTCGGCACACGGCGCCGTAGGTCGCCAAGAGCCCCTGCGAGGTCGAGTTTCGCTGCTCCGCATGCTCGGGCTACGCTGGTTCCGACAGGCCGCGCCTCGGGGAAAATGGCACCTGCAGTCAACTGCAGTACGATGTGACGGTCCTCAGCACTGCAAGACAGCGCAGCACGGAACACTCCGTTCACACTCCGTTCACACTCCGTTCACACTCCGTTTTCTGTTTTGGGCTTGGCCTGCGCCTCGAGCGAAGCTGGGAGCTTGGCAGGGCCAATCTCGACCATGACTCGACCTGGAACGGAAAGGCAAGGCCACAAGGCTGGACCAGCAGTGGCTGGTCTTGTTCAACTTGAGTGCTCTTGAGTGTTCACACGGCATGCACGGGTGTGAGAACCGCAAGTGAAGTTGAGAAGTACCGCCAAAGTGAAGCTGGCACAAAGCGGTCACCTCTCCCCCTGTCACAGCACGTTCTTGCGCTTGTCGCACCTGCAGCGAGCACGCCGAAGAAGGGCCCGGAAGGCTCGGAATCGGCGATGGGCGCCCACTCCTCGCCTGTCCTCATGGCTGGCATGCAGAGACAAGTGGAGTAGTGGAGGTCGCGCTCATCTGAGGCGGCCACTCCAGGTCCACACGCTCGGCGAGCAGCGCCTTCAGAGGCGAAGAGGCGAGCGCATGTTTCTTGCGAGCGCGAAGAAGGGGGGCGGGGCTCGTCGAAGCCCCAAAAGACCCGCACACTGAGCGGCACGCAATGGCGCGCACCCGGACGTCGCTCTTCTGGGCCAGGATGCCCATGGCGCAGAGGGGGACTCCGCGCTCGACCTTCCGCCGCCGAGACGATCCGAGACGCCCCCGACGCAGAGGAGTGGCACTTCGGCAGAATCGGCAGAATCCCGCAAGTTTGCCTGTTCACGCCGCCCTGCGACCAGCTTCTCGAACGCGTCTGTGATGCCCTGGGCACTCCGGGAGAATCCTCACTGTACAGTTTTGCAAGGCAGAGGCCATCTGCCTCGGACTTTGCTGCTGCAGTTGCAAGCGCCTGCAATGCCGGAAAGGAGCGACGGAGTCGAGAGATAACGAAGCTGAAGCTGCCTGCTTCATTGCAAGGTGCGGCAGCAGGAGGAGCCGAACTTTCTCGGCGCCGACCTGGACCTGACACGGGCGGAAGACCGGATGGGCCAGACAGGGCCAGAGGCCACAGGCGGCTGCAGCACGTGTGGGTCTAAGCTCCAGTACGGTGGCCATGGAACTCTGGAAGAGGCCCAAGCCGTTGGTCTCACGCAGAAACAAAACAGCCACTGAGAAGAAAGCCGGTGGGACGGAAAGAGGTGACAATGCAAAGTGGAAGACGGGAATAAAGAGCCAGATATGCGCCCTGGAAGAAGACCAGGAGAGGAGACAAAAGACGGAAACGAGCCGTGGCCTCACCGAAGATGGAGCCCTTGCACATCACCCCGATCTCGTCGCCCACGCGCGTCTTCATTTGGGCCGTCCCCTGACTATATTGGCTTGTTGAGAGAGAGACAGAGAAAGAGAGAGAGAGAGAGACAGCAAAAGAGAGAGAGAGAGAGGGAGAGAGACACAGAGAGAGACAGAGAGAGACGGAGAGAGGCAGAGAGAGACAGAGAGAGGCAGAGAGAGGCAGAGAGAGACAGAGAGAGACAGAGAGAGGCAGAGAGAGACAGAGCGAGA